GAAATGATAATGATCCTGCACTATGCTGATGTATTTGTAATTTAGATCCAGTCTATTAAAGTAAGTCAATTAAAATGTTTTACTCTTCTTTCACTACTATAAGTGAATCTGGCCCTTTTACTATGCTTGTTATTTTTCCTTTTTGCAGTACTGGGGTTTGAACTCAGGGCCTACACCTTGAGCCACTTCACCAGCTCCTTTTTCTGTGTGTGTGTGTTGGGTTTTTTAGATAGGGTTTCACAAGCCATTCGCCTGGGCCGACTTCTAACTGCAGTCCTCCTGACCCCTGCCTCCTGACTAGGATACTTTTTTATTCCTATTATTTCTTCATATCTTTACCCACTAGCCTTTACTCTGAAGATAATAAAGAAGGAACAGTGTGACTAGGAGGCTTTTCCAGGAAAGTCTCTGTGTACCCTGCTGTTGCTTCTATTATCTAAATTATGCAAAACAAGCAAACCGAACCACACTGCTGACTTTCTGCCTCAGTCCCTGTCATCGGTGGATGTTTTAGACTTCGAAACAGACTGTGTTTTCACGGTCCCTCTGCTTGGGCTGTAATTTTCGATGTAAGCCTCTTTCCCCCAAATGCCTACGTGGGGAGCACTCTGTTCTAGAAGCTCACAGTGTGCCGGTGAAATTAAGCAGAAAGACGTTGGTCCCTTCACAAATGCTGGTGATGGGAGACAGACAGTACCTAATAAATAACCCTGGTAACAGGTGAGTTATGAAGTATGTCAGGAACCAGTCAGTGTCCGAGTTCAAGGGCAGCAGGGAAGGAGGCCTGAGAACGTGCTGTGCGTGTGTGGCCAACTTGAAACACTTGCGGTGGTCACAGCCTCTTTGCCAGGGTGACATTGGAACAGTGACTTAGAAGGGTTGGAGTGAGCTGCAAGGCTGTCTGTGAAAAAGCATTCCAGGCAAGAAGGTGGTCGGTACAGAAGACATAACCTCAAATACTACTGGAAGTTGAATGAACTTCCAGAGTGTGTCTTACGGCCTTCATCATTAACTGCACAATATTTGCTTATTTGCAAATAAAGGGATTTGTGTTTAATAATTTCTTAAATACAATGATGTGTATACATAACCCATGTTCAGAACACAAGAGAACTTTGTGGCAAGGGATGTCCTCTTACAGAGGCCTCAGTCTCTCCTTTATATACAATTTGGTGATGCTGGTACCTGGCATCTGAACTCTTAACTTACAGAAAGAAAGGGCTTTGAAGGGAACTTGAGCAGATCACAGGCAGCAGGGAAACCCAACTGGCAGTCACCAAAAAAAAAAAGGGCCAACAGAAGGCACCCAAGCCCAAGGGATGGCCCTTGAAGTTATACTCAGTGAGTGGGCAAGTGGCCCCGTGTTCCTTAGGGGACTGAAAACACCACTGAGGAGCACTTATCCACTTATGAGTTGTCCACACCTGCCTGCCCAAAATTTAACAGCACTATGACCGGTCAGAAAGGGTGTGTGTGCAGGGGGGGTGTGGTTTACAATATTTTAATTCAAACTGCTTACAAAGTTTTTAAACTGTTAATAACAGAAGAAGCTGAAGGTGTGGATCAAGTGGTAACGCGTTTGCATGGTAGGCACAAAGCCCAGTGTTCAAAGTCCAGTTCCCCCTCCAAAACAAAGAAAGAAAGAAATCCATATTCATCAGGCATACTGGCTCATCCCTGTAATCCCAACTATCCCAGAGGCAGACATTAGGACTATAGTTTGAGGCAAGCCTGGGCAAAAAGTTAGCAGGACCCCCATCTCAACAAATGAGCTGGGTGTGGTGGTGTGTGTCTATAATCCCGGCTTTGCCAGAAGCCTGGGTAAGAGGATCACCATCTGAGAGTGGGGGGAAGCATAAGCCCCTATCTGAAAAAGTTGTTTAAAAGCAAAAAAAAAAAAAAAAAGGGGGGGGGGAGAGTTGTCTGAAAGCATGGCTCAAGTGGTTAGAATGCCTGCCTAGTAAGCATGACTTTAAATCTCAGCACCACAAAAAAAAAAAAAAGAGTAAAATTTGAAACACACACAAAACTTGAGTATCTAGGAAGCCACATTCACAAGAAATACCACATAGGCAAGCTCTTTGGACACCAATTAAGGTGATGGACAAATTAAAGTTGAAAACCTTCCACAGAAAGGTGTGGATGGTTTGGCTGGTTATCATTGCTGATAAAGTTACTCACCACCATACTATTTCATTACATAAGAGTGTGTTTTCTTGTTTTTAGATGCATGAAAATATGAACTCAAATAGATGTATTAGATAATTTACAGATAGATTATAAAATTCTATCAGATTATAAAAGTATTTTAATGAAAAAGCATTTGTCTGGTCAACAAAAAGAGTCACCACAAAGGCTGCTTCTCCTTCCCCTTGCTGATTTTTTTTTAACTTAGAACATTTTGTTTCCCTCACAGGTTTCCAGACCAAGCCCATCACAGAAAGGAAACAACCAGCCTTAGGCACTATCACGACACATCCGTGATCCCTCAGTTGGTGAAATGAGTTTAAGAGTTAGAATGCATTCCAGGCACATCAGGATGAGCATGGAGGGGAACCGCACTGTCACATCCCCAGAACTGGCACGTGCAGCACTTATGTGCACTTTAAAAAATTAGGCTAGCAGTTATCATGCATCCAAATAGCTGGCAAATGCACCAGGAGGACCTGAGCTCTGGGCTTTGCCTCCTTCCCTTGCTACAGGTGGCAGAAAAGCGATGAGAACACCCTGAGTGCAGCCACCAGCAGCTCAGCTAAGACTGGAGCTGGGAGCCGCCATCCGTCCAATGGACCACCTCTGCTGAGAGAGGCCAGTACCTCCATGATGCTGAGTTTGTGCTACTGGGTTTTTAAGGCCTGCCTGAGGAGAAGACATTTTCTGCTAGCAATGACTAATCTTCTTTGTTGCCATTTCTGTTCTGTTTTGTTTTAGTAATTAATAATCCAAGGGCTTGCTGGAAGGATGGAAAATATGGCTTATTTGTATTCATTACTTTTGGCTGATGGTAGAATCTTTTTTCAAAATTGCTCTCAGCATTTGGCACAAATATATCAACTCTGGTTCCTCAAAGACATTTATTTTCAATCTCAAAAACAAAAACTAAAGGGCTGGGGCGGATCGGGGCAGGGGAGAGTAGCTCAGGTGATAGAGAACTCGCCTAGGAAGCTCACAGCCTTGTGGCTTAATTTCCAGTATACCGCAAATAAGACATATATTTTCATTATATTTTTAGCTTCAAAAGTTGAAAGTAAAAACTGCAAAGACCTCAACAAACATCCAGAAAATCCCTTACCAAATTCAAAGTTGGAAAAGGAAAAAAAAAGGGAGAAAGGATAATATAAGCATAATAGGTTTTGTTTTAATCTGCCATTAAAATTCTGTAAGAATAAAATGAAATTGCAAAACTAAAGTAGATTGCAGTAGAGAAGGTCCGGCATCATTTAGCTCTGATTCCATGTTGACAAAATGTCAGATGACAAAAATCTGTAAGCTAGATAATTAAATTGAAAGAGAAAATCTGAAGGCAGTCCCTTTGAACTATTTACCATATCCCGATTTTCTATGACTTTACACAACACTGTGAAATGACAGAAGTCAGGCAACTTGCATCAAACCAAAACGTTTGTATACTCTGGACGCCTATGAAAGTATTTTCGGATCATATATAAATCTAAATGAACTAGAGAAGCAAGTTGTTTGGTGTTGCTGATAAGATTTTTTTGCGGTGGTATGACTATGGGGGGAAATAATCACTGGATATGCTGTTTTCAAATTGCTACCTCCCATGTCTCAACACTCCAGAAATTGTGTGCTTTCCTAGAGGTAATGATGACTCTTAATTTAGGAAATTATCGTGTCAAAGATTACCGCTGATGAAGAAGCATGGCTTTGTTTGGATGCTCATGCGTGTCTGCTGTGTTTTCATCAGGCGATTTTTAGATTTTTTAGTCATTCCACTAAGGTCTTATAAAATATTTGTGTGGGAGTAGAGAAAGGGAAAGAAAGGTTAAGAAGGAGATGAAGTAGTGCTGGGGAAGAGGAGGATGCATTTCAAGGTAAAAAAGAGTCATGTTAGCCACAACGTCTCAAAACAGTAAGAACCAGAAGTTAACTCACACCCAAGTGACTTGTAGGGAGGGCAAAGAATGCCTTCAGGACATTCTTCCCGTTTCATAAAACAGCCTTTTCTTCTGAGAAAGAAAGAGTGCAGACTTTGGCGTCTGAGGGACCTGGGTTAAATTTTCAGCTTAGCTTTGTTTTATTATTTTATTTTTCAGTACTGCAGATTGAGCTCAGAACCTCGAACTTTCTAGGCAAGTAGTCTCCCACTGGAGCCATGCACCCACTCCTTTTGCTTCTGGTTAGGTTTTTGGATAGGGTCTTCTGTTGACTTTGCCAGGGCTGGCCTACAACCATGATCTTTCTACTTCCACCTCTTGAGTAGCTGAAACCACAGGTGCGCACCACCATTTCCAGCCAGGTTAGCTCTTTAATAAATAGCCGCACCCAGGAGAAGTAGGTACACTTGCAAAGTCTCAGTTTCTCAGTTCTCAGGCTATTTTGATAATTTTAAAAGCGGTCTTTGCGCATGATGCATAGCTTTTAACTGAGTTTTAAAAAATATTCCTATAGCTCTCTAATGCTTACATTCTTTAAAATTCTTTCTAGATGTATCACATGCTTTATATAGTGTTGTCCCTAATGTTTCTGGCATTTCCATTTTTACTTGTACTAGAAACTTCTACAAGAGATAGCTGATTGCCTAAATCCAATGCTCTGGATATTTCCCCAAAAAACTCAGAAACACTCAAGATTTTGTAATATCTTTGGAAAATAAGCCAATCTGATGATTCTAGTTTCATTAGAGATCCTGAAGAATAACCCACTATAGATTTTCTGAAAAAAAAATTGTAACTATCTTAAAGGCCAAAATATTGCAATGAGGACAGACTGGACTGCAGAATCTTCAGTCAGGGTGGCATGAGGGTTCAGACACTTACTTTGCATTAGCAGAATTGCAAGTGGTCAGGTTCGCCAGGGCCAGGGCTGCGACCTCCTTCACTTCTTCATTGTCACTTTTGAGCAGCTGAACTAACTGTGGAATCCCTACAGGTAGAGAAAGGTAAGCTGTGACTTTGGAAATGGCCATGTACACTGGAATATGATAACCAGAAAATGTTCAGAATTTTTTTTTTTTTTCTTACCTTGTGTGTTGAAAAAATCTTTGCTGCTGGAGTTCTCACTCATTGCTGAAATAGCTTGAGAAGCAGCAATTTTAGTTCCATCGTTTTCAGAACCCAACAGGGCTACCAGGCACTTTTCAACCTCCAGTTCATGAAAAAGTTTTCTATTTTCAGCTTTCATAACCAAAAGAGAAGACATTCAGAATCCGACTGTAAAAACTGCATAAGAATTACTACTTACTTCTCCAAAGCGTGACAGGAGCACAAACAGTCTGCTGGCGTTAGTGCCAGAACCTGCACTAATCAAAAAGACATACCTATTTAAACTTTAGAAGAAAGACAGAGATCATGCAAAATAAGCCATGGATGTTGCATTTTTTTTTCTTATTTCCTTATAAGATACAGACCAATACTGTGGCAAAGAAAATCCTGTAACAAGGAAGAGGCAAGCTTTCAGATTTCACAAGCTGACATGGTGTGCAGTGTTCACAGCCTCTCTTCTCACTTAGGACAAAATCCTAATTAGTTGATGGTTATTTCCAATGCAAAACCTAATATTTGAAGAGTGCCTACGATGTACAAACTGGTGGTTCTGGAGCTCAGGCTTCAGAGGAGCAGAGGCAAAGAGAAAGTAGTGTAAAGGACTTACAGTCTTACATCACAAAATCACATCTTTTTTCCCAAATTGCAATGCATGCATAAGCAGCAAAACTTAAAGCCATCATTTGGTAAATTACCATAAATGATCTAAAATATGTTGGAATAGTTTTCTTTGCTTGAAAACAATGTTATAATTCTATGTTCTAGGACACTAAATTCACCCACTTCTGAGACACTAAATTTGGAAACAAAATGGTTTCTGTTTCTTTGTTTGGCTGTTTTTTATTTTTTTGTTTTTTATTGTGCTGGGGATCAAACCCAGGAACCTATGCATGTTAGACTAGCAAGCACTCTTACCACTGAGCTGCACCCCAAGCCTGAAACCAAAGATTTTTTTTTAAATGCTGTTTTGTTCCCTAAGCATTTTTTCCTCTTCATTTAGTTTTTTAATAAATGACTATCTCATTACTATACCAAAGTAAATATTCCATTAAACTAAATTAGAACATGAAGACCAAATTTTTGGTTTTGGGTTTTGTTTACTGTGATTTTTAAAAATTGTGTTCTAATTAATTCTAAATGTTTCTATCTTTTTTAAGTGTCTACTAGAAAAAAAATGCATTACATCAAACTCAGTTTTATTGTCATAAAAAATACTAGAGACTAGTGTGAAAAGAAACAGCTTAGGAATAATTCCTTGCTAAATTATTTTCAGATCATCCAAGACACTTTGCTGTAAGTTTGATACTCCATTAATTACCTTTGTAAAGTTTGTAAATTAACCTTTATAAAGCCAATACTCATGACTAAAATAGAAGAATGTGTGGATATGTGCTCTGGTAATGTTAACCAATGAGAAGAGTCTTTCCTAAAATGCTGATAATCTGATTAAAATCATCAGTCATGGGACTAATTCGTTGCTTATACATATTTTAATTAAGGTTTTTTTTCAAGAATTTCAGAAATTTATAGCAGCTAGGTTTCTATTTTAAAGGATTTCTCTTTCTTTAATGATTCTAAACACCATCCCTTTTTGCAGGAGCAGTATTACAGTCATCTGGCACCAGATTTGCAAATACTTTTTGGCCTTTGTTGATCTCATACACAGACACATCCCAAGCAATCTGGCCATCACTGGCACAGGCCAAGTTACTAACTTTGCTGCTTATTCACCTCAAACCAATCATGAACCTGTCTTGGAAGTGTTGCTTTACCCCCTTGCTCCTTTCATGTGACACTGGAGTTCAGACAGGTCCGCAGTGTGTTTCATAAAAAAAGGCTACATTCAATGCCTAAATCTGAGAAGAAAAAAAAATGGTTTTTGGCAGTACTGAGTTTTGAACTCATGGCCTCACACCTGCTGTGCAGGTGCTCTACCACTTGAGCCACTACGCCAGCCAATGCTTAAATCTGAAGTATGTGGCTTCTAAGATGTCTTAAAACATGTGGAATCCTTATTAGTTTTCAATGAAAAAATGATCTTGGAAACTTTTCCAGAGTCTCTGACCTTTTAAAAAAAACCTCAGAGCTCTGGTGGCTTTGAATCAAATTTCCTAAACACTCTTAGCATGGATTCTAGTGGGAAAACAGGCCAAGCTACAAAAGTAATTAATTTGGAAAAACTGACTTTGGAGTATGTAATTGTTGCTTTCGAAAAAGAGTACATATGCAATTATTGGAAAGATTTTAAAAAATAATTTAAATAAATACTGTGGGCAATTAGCTTCTCAACCCTGCTGGGAGAGTTCTCAGATTCCAGCTGTGTTCACCAAACCTCAAGAGTGCTGACTGCATGTGGCTATAATAGATTTAAAAGATGAATTAACATATTAACCAAGCACTTTCACTGCATTGCTACACCAAGTAAAGTATTTGTGTTTTAATTACACAGATAATAAAGATGCTACCAATGGAGGACCATCCTTTAAAAACAACACTTGTGCAGTACCACTAAAATAAAAAGGAGAAGGTTTTGCTGCTAAAAATAAATCTGCCTGTAATGCTGCTTTCCTTTGCCCATTTTCAGAAGTGGTCATGGTGCCACCTTTGCTCCTGCTGAGATGTTAACTCCAGTTCATAAACCTTGCAGCAACATAGTAATTAACACCTTCCTCCTACTGGTGCCAGCTCGAAGCATTCTGATCTGGGCTTTCTCAGCAGTGGAGGGGTGATAAAACTTTACGGCACAGGCAAAACTTTAAAAAATGCTTTGTTATTTGTTTGTGTGTTTCAAGGGGCCATGGCAGTACATGGTCTCGTTTAAAAAATTCTCATGATGATGGAAAGTAAAAAGTCATTATAAGTTCCTTCTCCATGATTATTTACTTTCTCTCTCTCTCTCTCTTTTTGTGGTAAAACTGGAGTTTGAATTCAGGGCCTCATGCTTGCTAGGCAGGAGCTCCGCTACTTAAGTCCTCCAGCCCTTGATTACTTTCTAAACAGAAATATTAGGAGGTAAATGTTATTCATCCTTTTTAAGTTTTAGGGTCTGCCGCTGCACCGAATATAAACTATGACATGGCCAAGAATTGATATGAAAGTAGACGACAAGTACAAGTAGGATTTGAAAAGAAGAGTCTAGAATCAGACAGGGAGGAAGACAAGTAAACAGTTAAGTAAATAAACCAGCCAACAGAACAGAATGATCAGGCAACCGAAGAAGACGTCATCCCTAGCCTGGACACTCAGGATGTTGGTTCTGCATTGTGTTCTGCCTGCAAATTAACATTTGCATATGGCCAAGGTGAGAAGCTTGAAAAGGAGAGCTTTTCACAAAGCTTCCAATCAGAAGTGCGTTCATTCTTAAGCACTGGATATGCAGCCAGAGAGAAAGCTTGAAGTTTTCTACACTCATATCTTTCTAGAGGCATCAAGAATCAAGAATCAATCTTCCAAATCAGGTATTTCCAAGACCTAGAGAAAAACTAAAGCACCTAGGCACCCACTGGGTTTGAAGATCCATTCCACCTACTTTTCTAGTGTTCACACAGATATCAAAAATGGAATCAACTTAAGAAGGAAAAAGACCATGCCAGAAAGGATGGAGAAAGGTTACCACTTAAGCTGAATTATAAAAATATAAACTTTTTGGGCTGGGAACGAAGGTCAGGGTAGAACACTTGCCTAGATGTTCAAAGCTTTGGGTTCAATTCCCAGCACCACAAAAATAATTTTAAAAATTTTAATATTTAAAACCTGCAAGATGATGGTAAAGGAGTTGCACTGTCACACTACAGTTGGGTTGTTGGTTGAGTAATGCTAGAATGTTCTGCTAAGCAATGGAAGAAGTATGCTTTTGTGCTGGGCCTTCTTGGTGTCCCAGGGTAATGATCTGTGCACAGGCTTTTGCTTTATCATAGTAGGGATCCATGAAGAGCTGGTGTGAGGAAACTAATAACATTCCGAAAGCAGAGTGGACTATGCTAGGCTAAATCATGCAAAGGTACATTTTTAAATTTCTTAGGGCCAGAAAAACAGTTATTTATCGACATCCTGAGAAGCAATGGAATTAGAAAATTTTATTTTCTCTCTAAATCTAGCCATTTGAAGAACATGGATACCAACAGGTCAAAAGAGGATTTCGAAAGTCAGAGTCTAGACTAATCCAGAGCAAATGAGTACAAAATTAGAGTCTAGCATACGTTATATGCTCCAGAACCCAATGGAGAGTGTCTGAGTGAGAACTCACTGATAACCAATGGCTGCATGATTGTATAAGATGAAAGAATCTCTAATGCTAAGCAGAGGAATCTGGACTTGATTCTGTTTCTTCTAGTCTAAGACTTGTTAATTTGGGGACCATGAATCCAGAAGAGAGATGGGCTTAAGACCATCCATGAACTCCTTTAGGTTATTCACAGAATACTATGCAAATGTAATTTTGGGGAAGGTTATTTTGACCAGGTTCTCAAATTCAGGACTCTCCAAAGGTAGAGTTTGGGCAATGTAGTTGGATGTGTTTGGAAAATCTGAAATAACAGACAGGAATTTGGAAGACATGTCAGAATTAGAAACAGATTAGAAACTTGTGGCAGATAAGGAAGAGAATGAAGCATTAGTCATAACTGAGATTTCTCAGGAAGATTTAAAAGAGAATAAGAAAGAGGACAGGAAGACATGTTTAATAATGTTGAAAAGATAAGCAGAGAAGAGGAAACTGGTAAGTGGGAAATGTTGGTCTGATAAGTAGGAGAAAACTTAGGGCAGACAAGAGGGAGGAGTAGTCTAGAAATCAAAGGGAAAAGAGTTTTGAGGGGGAGGAGACAATCAAGGACGGATGCCACATAAAAATCAAACTAAAAAAGACTTTATGTCTATAGGATTTGTAGTTAAAGGTCAAGGTCAAATACTATAAGAATTGTTTTGGAAACAAAAGTTGCATACAGGAGGTTAAGTGTTGGAGATGAGATGGGGAGGGGAGTATTAAAAACTGATTAGTGTGTCAAAGAGGAGAATGAGGAGAAAGAAGACCATGGGGCAAGAGTAAGAGAAGAAACAAATGTCCATAAAGCACCCCCGGTCAACACTTATGGCCCTCTCAGGATGCTCCAAGCTTCCATCAACTTCCTCCTACG